AGTCCTGCTTCTGGAACTGCCCTCATTAGGGTCAGTGATCCAGGCTGACCAACCACCTCCGTTGGCCTGAGGCTTCCAATTCTAGAACTGGGAGACTCCCGGGCAAACTAGGGCAGTTGGTTACACCACCAATGGCTTTCTCCTTGCCAAATTCAATGATGCCTCTCAGTCCTTAACCATCCTGACCTCCAGTCTCCTCTGGATACCTCGCTCCTCTTCGATACCTTCTCTCCTCTCCTGGCTCCAGTCCTAAATCCAGGCCTCCACATTCTTCTCCTCCTTCATCAGCTGCCTCCTCTGCCCATTCGGTCCTGCCATTTGGGCTCTCCAGACCTGTGATGTGCTAGGGACTAGGGATATAGAGACTAGAGGTGCGGCGTCTGGCCGCAGGAAAGCCCGGTAAAGGTACTGGGAGACACGCAGTGAGAGGATACTTCACACTGAGGAGTGATCAAGCCTGTCCGGCCAGCACCAAAGACTGTGAGATATGGACCCCCGAACAGGGTTTTGAAGAAGGAGCAGGAGTTTACTAGGTAGCAGGTGAAGGAAAAAACCTCTCCAGTTATTGGGAATGACACGCGCGAAGGCACGAAGCAGTGATGTGTGGAGGTGCGTGCAAGGGACGTGCACAGAGTTCCACGCGGCCTGTGCCAGTGGTGGGGGCGGCGGGGGGGCAGAGTAAGCCGAGAAGGGAGGCAGAGGCAGAGGCCTGCCACGTGGGGCTTCCTGTGCCCTCCTTCCCGAGCAAGTCCGCATGAGCTTCAAGAGGCCCATAGCTCCCAAAAATGAATGGAAAATGCTGGACATGGATGTTTTTGATTCTAGGAAAGGAGTCCCTCCGCTTTCACCAGATTCTGAAGCAGGGGACTGAAAGCCCACGGCTGGGGAGCCGTCAGGAGAAGCAGCGGGCAGCGGAGCCCTTTGTCAAATCTTCATTTGGAATGAAGATCTCTCCGGTAGCTGACCAAAGGCAGGACGGTGATGCATGGAAGCCAGAAGCCAGGTTGCCAGGGACACCTGCAGGGTTTGGGCTTCAGCCCTCTTCCCTGGCCCTGAGCAAAGTTTCCTCGAGGAAGTCTTCAGCCCTCCTCCAAGCTCGTCCAACAGACCTCCCCGCCATCTCCAGCCGTCTTGGCCAGCACGCTCTGCAGGCTCCTCACATTCCGCCTGGCCCCTGCTGAAGCCAGCATCGGTGCCTTTCAACGTGGCAAACACCAAGGGAATGTTTTTAGACTGAATTGGGGTCCACCTGTACAATGAGTTCACAAGCTGGACTTCAGCGTCCATCTGGGGGTCAGCCAACTTACTTTTACCCAGAAGTCTCAAAATTCTTAGGGTTTTCTGAAAAGATAATCTATGGTTCCTATCCTTATTTAGTAGTTGAAAAGGAATTGCACTATGATATGATAATACAAGCCCATTCTGTAATACACACACTGAGCATGTCTTCGACCCCATCTACGGGTGAGCAAACTGAGGCCCAGGACTAAAAAAATGGACTTCGCAAGCACAGGTGAACTAACTCTCTTTTCCTTCCCTCCCCGTGTGACAACCCTCTCCCCTTAGTGACCTAATGCTAGCCAGCTGTGGTCTGCATGCTCGCCCCAGTGGCGGGTCGGGTCTTGTTGCTAAGGGCCACTTTCCCATATTCCCTGCTTTGTGGGATGGTTTTGTTGCCATGGCAGTGCAGGTTGTGTGTGTCTGTGGTGCATTTGGGAGGCACTGCTGGACCCAGGGGTGGGGTTCTAATTGGTTTGGTGGTTGCTAGGGTCAACAGGGCTGTGATTGGCTTACTCTGTTTATGTGCCCACCCCTCTCCTGGAACCCTCTGGAGATGCAGCTGTTGCTCCATCTAAAGTCTGGAGCGGTTGTACATACCGCGCATGAGTGAGTGTGTGTGTGTGTGTGTGTGTGTGTGCGTGCACACACACGCGAGCGCACACACCCAAGGACATCCGTGCCTGTGCATTTAGCACAAGCAGTGAGGAGACGGTGTGAAGCTTGGTGCCATGACCAAGTGGCAGCTTCCCGGCTCTTTAGTGGAATCACACCGGAACCAGGTAAATGACATTTGTCTCTTAGTCAGCCCCACTCTCCGGAAGTCACTGGAAAACAGGTCTGGATTTATTCAGAGGAGGAGGAAGAATTGGCTGCGTCCAGCCAAGTCCTGCTGTCCCGACTGACTAGCACACTTGGAAGGAGCTAGGCCTCAGGGGGTTTGGTCTGGGGGCTAAGGTCCCCACTGCCATTCTCCTTCCTGAGGTTCTTGGGGAGAGTTTCTCTGTGATCTTATTTCATTTCTCATTTCTCTGGTCTTCACTTGTCTCCTAAGAACCCTAAGAAGGTCTCTTTGGCCAAACACTAATGATCTTTCTAGAGTTTACAAAGTACCTTCACATTCACCCTCTCACCGAACCCTCCTGAGAGGCAGCTTCCATGTCATTCCCATTTTTCAGAGGAGGAAAACTGAGGCCCAGATAAATGAAATGACTCTTGTACCTTAGGGCAGAGTCAGGTCTCTGGCCCCCCCCAGTGTCCCTGCAGTGCTTTGGAAGACGGCTGCCCGTGTGTGGGTAGGACCCGAAGGGAGGACAGCCTGCAGCAGTCTGCAGAAAGGAGATTCTCTGTTGGCTGAACTCTCGCTGTCTGGACGCTGCCCCTCCCTGGGGAAAGGGAGGCGGGCTTGAACTTTGGTTTTTCAGAAGCTATTCGAATGCACTGCCCACACAGTCTGTGAGGGAGAGCTGTTTCCAGCTTCCCCGCTCAGCCCTCGGGCACCCAGGGACGCCTGTCCTCTCCGCAGAGCAGTGGCATGTTATCCGCAGCAGGGGGGAGAGCAGGGATTCGAGTGGAGGAGTGGGCTGGGCTGCGCCTGGGGCCCCCCGTTGTCATCCTGTCAGCACTGCCTTGCGGTGACCAGGGTCACCCCCAGATGCCGTTTAGGCTAGCAGAGGGGAAGGGGCCTACAGGGTCTAGAGGGGAGGGGGCCCGGAAGCTGGAGCACCAGACACCACTCACTGAGAGTCTCTTGTCTAACCCTCTGCAAGGAGGCTGTTATCAGGGAGAGAAGAGAAACAAGCCTTGACTGGGTGCTGAGTTTCTATCACATTTGAACCTCACGACAGCCCCATGAGAAAGGGACTATTGCTGTCTCCATGTTACAGACTGGAAAATCAGAGGGGTCACAGGCAGTGGCTGTAAAGCCCAAGGTCTTGCTTGGTGGTGCAGGAGGGTGGGAGTCCTTCCTTCGTGGAGGACCAGGTAGGGCTGCTTCTTCTAAGCTGGGCTCCTTGAGAAATATATGGAAAGAAATTTGGCATGGGAGGCAAGGCGGGGGACACCAAATGGTTTCACAGGGAATTTTTAGAAGGGCACAGACAGGAAACAGAAAAATTAGGATGGCCCAAAGAGCACACACACACAGCTAGCAAGCTCTGCCCACATGGCCATGTTCGCTCTTACCTCGGTCCCTTCCTCTAACTGCCCATCTGCGCGTGCCCTTCCCTGGAGCTGCCAAGGTTCTGCAAACCATTCCCCGGGCTACACATAGACACCCCCCTGCAGTCCACCCCCTTCTCCCAACCCCAAAGAGCATGACAAATGCGTTCAAACCGAACATTTCAGATTGTGAAACTCAATCCCATGTCAAGGAGTAGGGGGATGGAGGGGGTGTGCTGGGACCATCTCTGAACAGACAGCTGGCCCTACGTTGTTTAAGTTGTCACCTCTCCTCTGTGAAGTTGTCCCTGAGTCTTTGAGCACCATTTTTTCCTCTGCCCCCGCCCATATTGCTTTGCTATATGACTGTTTCTCTGCATATCTCTCCCCTACTGGATGGGGAGCTACATGAGAATAGGGACTGAGACTTAAGTCCCAAAGATCGAGGACAATTGGTGGCACATGTCAGATCTTCAACAAAGGCTTGTGGCAAGGACAAACAATGGTGATTACATCTACTATTTATTGAATTCCTGTTAGGAATTGAGCCTTATGCTTTGGCATACATTATCTTTAATATATACAACAACCACGCAAGATGAATATTAGTATCTTTGTATTACAGATTGCAAAAACTGGGCTCGGAAAGGTTAAGTCATTTGCCCAAGGTCATACAACCAATAAAAGGAGGTTTTAGGAATCACAGCAACCCTAAGAAATATCCAGCTTGGTCTATCACACCAGAGGTTGCTCCCGTATCTTCCAGACTCAAACAGACACAAAGTTCTGTGATCCTGGCTCCTAATCTCAAGTCAGTCCCCTCCCCTTTCCCTGCTACCACTGCTCCAGCCTAAGCCAGCATCAGCCTTCACTGCGATCAGCCTGCAAACTGGGGTTCCTGTCTCCTGAAGTGCCCCACCCTCCATCCCCCTCTTGGCTGGGGGTCATCCTACATCACAGACCTGAGGATTTCTCTTTCCCCTGAAATGTTCCACATTTCCGAATAGATCAAATGGAGGAAGGGTCTTCAGAACCCAGCACCTGCTCCCTCTATGACGTCACCTCCAGTCCCAGCCCCTCTAAGCTCGACCTCTCACCCCTTAACTCTGCACGGGTGTTACCTACCCTCCTGGGAAAACAGAAACCCCTTCCTGCCCTCCGCTGTCCTCTCATCCTGAGACCCTCAGCACAAGCAGCAAGACACCCCAAACGGACAGCCCCAGCTCTAAGCTGGGTTGCACAACATCCCAACTCTTGTTCCCTGTCCCATTAGACTGTGAGCTCCCCGAGGGACTGTGTTCTTTCCATCCCTTGTGCCCAGCATCCTGGCTATTATTGGGCATATAAGACATACTAAGAAAACTTTTTTTTTAAAGATTTTATTTATTTATTTGACAGACAGAGATCACAAGTAGGCAGAGAGGCAGACAGAGAGAGAGGGGGAAGCAGGCTCCCTGCTGAGCAAAGAGACCAATGCAGGGCTCAACCCCAGGACCCTGGGATCATGACCTGGGCCGAAGGCAGAAACTTTAACCCACTGAGCACCCAGGTGCCCCCTAAGAAAACTTTTGTTGAAACTTCTTGACCTCATCCATTCCCCTGATTCCTTGAAACTCTACCCTTTTGTCCATTTTCTTGAATCCTCTAATAACCACAGTTCCTTAGCCATAGCCCTCTCCCCTGCCCTCCCTGTCCTTTCCTGCCTCTGTGCCTCCCGTGTTGTTATTATTATACACGTGGATTATGGAGCCCTGCAGCCTGCTGTCCCCAAAGCCTGGAGGTTCTGGATCCACCCAATCTTTGTACCCCTTCAAGCACTAGGCAGATCTCTTTTTCTAGAGGGCATGTGCCCAGGAAATCTGCATGCCTTGGTAGAGAAAACAGAGGTAGCGGAGTTGGGAGGCCCTTTGTGGGGTGCCCCTGTGGACCAGCCAAAAGTCACTCTCTTGGAAGCACCCGGGGTCTTTCTTCTTTCTGCATCTCCAGCGCTCCTGGAGTCTCCAGTGCTCCCGCGTTGCAGGACTGATGTGGGCTGGTGGCGGAGGGCAGGCGGTGGTCCTGAGAGAGGGACCTCAGACCCGTGGCTTCCAGAAAGGAAACAAATCCATGCTGTGGACCACCCACCTCAAGACACACTCCCCCACACCCCATGAAGACACCCAGACTTCAGGGGTCATGTCCACCAGCAAGGCAGAGGACACAGACCTCTCTGGTTTGCTGCCCGTATGATCTGATGCCACCCCCCTCTCCTCACAGTCTTCAGGAGGTAGCGGGGCTGGGCAGGGCCCAGATGGGGCCACTGTGACCTTCCCTGCTTCCCAGTCTCCCTTAGACCCCTGAAGTTGGATGGTGTGGCCTTTGGCCTGGGTCCTAGTTGTGGTTTGCCACTAACTCTTTGTGGGACGTTGGGCCAGTCCGATCTTCCTGGGCCTCAATTTCCCCTTCTGTAAAATGAAAGCCGGACTAGCACTAGCTATTCTGTAAGGTTTCTTGGATGATTCTCTGTTGGCCTGTGGGATTTAATTCCAAAAGGACAAACTGAATTATCCTTCAGGGTAGGAAGTTGGGGGTGATGGCTAATGGCAAAGCTTCATGGAGGCCCAGAGAGGTGGAGTCTACCAGGTGGGAGCTTGGTCCCAAAAGGTAAGTGACAAGTCCCACTGGGCTGGGCCAAGGGAGAACCCCAGGGCCACTGCTGCAAAAACACTAAAGTCCACGATGGCCAACAGGACTGGCCTGGGCGCATTAGCGCCTGCGGTGCCCTGTGCTGGGATCCAGGATCAGACTCAGAAGGTGGGAAGGCTACCTTTAGAGAAAGGCACTGTCAGTAAATCACCCCTGGTGATCTGGCCCCAGTCCTGGGGTGCTCCGATCCAGAGGGGCTCAGCGCATAGTCAAGGCTCTCGGGGCCAGCCCCAGAAGGCCGGCAGACGCCCGGGCCTAGGAACGAAACCGGAAGAGGCTCTTGGACCCTGGTTCCCAGAGTGGGAGAAAGGGGTGGGCACCCGGGCAGAGGGAGCCCTGGGGATTGGCAGTGGCTGTGGGCAGGGCAGGAGGGACGGGGGAGGAGTCAACTTGTACACGTGAAAAACTCTGGCGGGGGCCGGGTTTTTCCCTTCCTCCTCCTCCTCCTCCTCCCCCTCCCTCCTCTTCCCCACTTTCCTCCACCCTCCCTTCCCCTCCCCTTCTCCCTCCTCCTCCTCCCTCTTCTTCTCCACCTCCTCCTCCAGCTCAGGTTGCAGCTTCTCTGGGGAGCCGCTCACCTTTCCGGAGCAGCCCCCAGCCCGGGCAGGGACCCCAGCAGGGCGCAGGGCACGGCGCCCAGCCCCGCGGCACCCCGGCTGTCGCGGGCGGGAGCCGGCGCGCCGCGGCCCCCAGGACACGCGCGGTGAGTCCCGCGGGCGACGCGCAGTGTCCGGAGGGCTGGGCGGGCGGCGCGCCGCGGGGAGGAAGGGGGCGGTCGGAGGAGGGGGCACCGCGGCGCCGGGGAAACCGAGCAAAGGTAAGCGGAGCGGCTCTTAAAGGCGCCGGTCTGCTTTTGCCCTGGGGCGGGAGGTTGGAGGGCTGTGCAGGAGCGCCGCTGCGAGATCGGAGATCACGAGGCGCGCTGGCTCGCGTGCTGGGGGTGGGCGATGCCCCGAGCAGGCCCCTCCCAAGTTCCAGGTGCGCGGGTTCACCTTCGCAGACCCCCCCCTCCCGACCCGGGAGTCTCCGCCGAGACTCACTCCGGCCCCCGGGCTCCCTGAACCCTAGGAAGCAAAGTTTATAACCCAGGTTCAGACCAGGCGCTTTCTCATCGCCCTTCCTTCTGGGAAGGGCAAGGGTCGGGAGTCTCCGGTGACGGGAGAACCCGCGCGAGTGTGGGGCCAGATCGCACCTTGAAGGGCTTTCTGGGCTCCGGTGAACTTTCCAGAGCGACAGGCTGGAGGGTGGGAGACTAGAGCCCTGGGGTGAAGGTGGAAGGATAGCGTGGGGGCGCTGGGGCCTCTGGGGATCGCTGCCTCTTCTCTGCCCCCCAGGAGACCACAGGGGCAGTGGCTCCCAGTCCGCAGCAGCAGTAAGCAAAGGGTTAATAGAGCCGTGGGGAAGGGCGTCTGGTGGCCTGTTGAGCTGTGCGGGTGAGCATTCGGCTGCGTGGGGGGCAGGGGATGGGTGGGGGGAGAGAGATGGGTCGGGGGAGAGAGATGGGTGGGGGGAGAGGACCGGGAGTCTGTAGGGGCTGGAGGCCTCCCTTCTCTCCGTGTTGGCAGCTGCAGGAGTTCCCCGAGCTGTCTGCAGGCCCTGTGGGCGTCGGGCTGTTCAGACAGTGACCGATTTTCTGTGCTGTAGGGTCAGCACCCTCCTAGGCACCAGCAGCCTCTTTAATGCTTGGTGAACCCTTTCTGGACAGCAGGAGTAAGAAAGTTAGAGCTGTGTGAGGGGTGGGGTATCAGCACCCCCAGAATCTCATCCCCAGGAATTGCTCTGCAGTTCCTCAACTGTGGCCTGGGCACTGTGACTCACTGCCAGCACCAGCTTGCCCTGCCCCCGACCCGGGCCAGGACCGTGTGAGATACAGGGGGCATCTCCCACTGGGCATGGGCACACAGCACATTCTGGGACACTGGGCCGGGGGCGCAGAATCCTGGAGGATGCTGGGAGGACTGGCTCACGGGCTCTGCCCGCCCCCACAGAGATCCTCTACCTTTAGTCTAGCCTTGGGAAGGGGCTGGGACACATGGCTTAGTGTCGAGGGGAGGCAAAGGTGGTTCGAGGCAACCCTGGCTTCTGGGTTCGGGTCTGCATCTTGAAGGCTCTCTAGAGAGAGGGTCACCTTGCCATAGCAAAGCTACTGGCTCGGATTACTCTCTCTGCCCCAGCCACCTCCTGTGTAGCCGAAGTGAGGCTGTCTTCCCCGCACCCCTGCAACCTCACCAGCCTGTTGGGTTCCTGGGATTCTCCCCACTGGCCGACCATGACCCTCCAGTAGAATGGATCCCTCCTTCTTCCCATATTTATGGGGGTTTCCAGAGCCAGAGTGGACTCAGTAAGCTACATCTGAATTCTGAATGCCTTGGTGGCTACCAGTTGGAGAGTATCTGCTGGGTTCCCAGCAGATACAGTAGACATTGCCATCCCGTTTTATAGATGGGAAAACAGAGGCTATGAGAGACCAACTTTCCCTCAGTCTCACATAAGCGGGATCCAACCCACTTCCATCTGAACCTGAGCTCCCTGCTGATAGTCCCTGCCCCATCTGGGGAGATCCTGTCCCGCTACGGAGTTCTCTGGCTTGACATCAGTCCCCAGGAGAAGGAAGGATGGGTGTGGTGCTCTGGGTAAGGAGGTTCCCGTTTGTTCTGTGCCAGGTAGAGCCAGGCTTTTCCGTGGGTCGCAGGAGAGGAGACACTAGATCCGAGGAACCTACAGCTAGGTTCTTGGTCTGAGCTCTCCTGGGATCCAGCCGCCTACCCGGGAAGCCACCCCCTGGGTCCCTGGGGTCATGATGCTGCCTTTTGGACCGCACTTAGTTTTCTCTGTAGACCCAGACTCTGTCATCTGTCAACGTGCCCCATGCTGTAGGGCAGGGCCTGGGTTGGTCTTCCTAGCTTCTATCCCAACTGTGCCTCTTTTTTGGTGGGGGTTACCCTCTTTGGGACTTTGGCCTCGCACCTCTATCCATCCCTCCCGATTCCTTTCCTTCCCTGAGTTTGAGACCTAAAGGGGAGGGAGAACCAGGGTCTTGTTGGAATCCGGGTCCAGAACATACTAGCTGAGTCCCCTCGCCCCCATCAGACACCTCCAAGCCTCAGTTTCCTGGTCTCTGAAATGGGAATCCTTGTAGGTCGGGTGGTTAGATGAACGAAATGAAATAACACACAGTGCCTGGCATGTAGCAGATGCTCAGGGACTGTTAGCTGAATCGTGCATGGTTATTTGGGAAGGAAATTTCCCAGTTATCACCCCATGCCTGGCTCTGGGGTAGAGACCGAGGCAGGCTTTCCTAATCCCAGCAGGCTGGGCCCTAAGCATCTTCCCTGCTCTTCCAGCCTGGGGAGGAAGGGGTGGCTGGAAACCTGCCAGGAGGGGACCAGGAATCTGTGTTGTGGGGACTCTGCCCTCTAGTTTCTAGCATGAGTGAAGTGGGCACTGGAAGCTAGGAATCCAGCAGTCTCTGGCCAGGCCTCTTTGCCTTGGGGTAAAAAGACCCTCGCTCCCTCCTTCATTAATTGCTGTCCCTTTTCTCCTCTGTCGTCTGTGAGGGAGTGGCTGGCCTGGGTCCAAACTTATCTGATTAGTGTCACCTCGTTCCTTGGGAACAAGTCACATTTCTCTTCTGTAGCCCCGAGTCCTACCACCACCCCTTCTGTCGCCAACCCTGGACCCTTTGCCTTTGCCCCTGCCATCAGGTGCTGAGTGGGCGGCTTGCCATCTCGGGAGGGTGGAGCTCCTCAGGGCTGGGCTTGTCTTGTCCTGGCCCCCACAGCTGTGTGCCTTTCCCTGGAACCCAGCTCTAAGGCCGGGCTAACAGCAGTTCGGGCCAGGGCCTGGGGCCCGGGATCCCCACAGAGCTGGGGGCTGGGCCCGGCAGGAGCTGGCCAGGGGTGCCGCAGCCGATCAAGAAGGGGGAACGCTGTAGGCGTGTCTCAGCCAGGACTCCTGTCTGAAGGAGAGCCCATCTGCTTCTGAAATCTGCAGTTATATCTGCAGGGGAGGAGGGACCAGGAGGCAAGTGTGAGGACTGGCCTGCAACCAGAAGGGGTCTTGAAGCTCCTTGCAGACACAAGTGTCCCTGGTGAGTCAGGGCCCCCCTGGGTAAGAAGACATGGGCCAGAACTTTTGAAGGAACGGTGGTGAGACCCTCTTTCTTGGAACTGTGGACTGGGGTCTCACCCTGTGCTGCCTCCCCGCCTACCAACATTAAATTGAGTCTGCCTTCAAATTAGAGGGGTGGGGACAGGCAAGGAGACTCTGTGATGGCCAGCTGGGGCGTTCCTTCATTTATATGCGAGCGCTCGCCTTCTGTCCAGCATGGGGGGCGGTTTGGCGACTTCGGAGTGGGCTCCGGTCCTGCCCCTGCTGTGGCGTGAGGTGCTTCCGGTGCAGGACCTCGTTCATCCAAGCCTTGGATTTCTCCGTGAGAAAACGGGGAGAGTGGGAGCATTACAGATGCTGCGAGGACGACAGTGAGACCCTGGCCACCACACTCCTGGCTTTTTGCCTCACCTCGTGTCGTTCGCGAGGGCTGGTGGCTGTCCGAGTCCCTGGGCCACACGTGGCAGTTCTCAGTAGCTTGACTTCTGCTCTGTCCCTGTAGAAACCACAGCTTAGGCCTCACATAGGGGAAGGGGCTATCCTTAAAACGTTTCCACTCTCCCTCCTTCCAAGGACCTTCTGTGCTTTATAGTTATGGTGGTAAGCTCTGACAAAACTCCAGAATGATTTCTCTCTTTACACCCTTGCCTCCCTCAAGAAGCCTACACTTTCTTGCCTTTGTGGGGCCGGGGGTTGAGGGGGAGGTCCCTTCAGGAGCCAGGGCTGCTTCTCTCCTCTGGCCCCAGCAAAGGAGACCCTTGCTGGGGGACCAGGCCCTGCTCTGTCCTTTCCCGGGTTGCGGTAGGATCCAGTGCCTGGTAGCAGGTAGGAGACAGGTCTTGTACCCAAGGTTTCACTCATCACGTCAGCAGTGCTGGGTCCCCAGACCACCTCTGCCACTCGGGCATGGGATGAGGCCAGAGAAGGGGTCCAAGAGCCCCTCCCTATACTGGCAGTACCTGGCAGTACCCCCACTGTGGCTGGGCCGGGTGCCCTGCTCTGTGCGGAGGCCGTAGCTGAGATTGCTTCTTCCCAAGGTAGGGTGGTCCTTGGGTGGGCTTGCCCGGGGGCCTCTGGGCAGGTCCTCGAAGTCCCCGAAGGAGCAAAGAGAGCATTGAAGTCCCAGTCACAGGCCCTCGGCTCTGGTCTCAGCTCTGCCTCTTCAGGCTGCATGGCCTGAGGCGGGTCATCCCCTTGGCTGGGTCTTGCCTTCTTCTCCTGAAAAATGAGGGCACAGACCAAGGGATTTCTAAAGCTCCGTCCAAGACGACTGGTTTGTGGTTCCAGCTTTTGCCAGTCCTGCTGCTGAGGTGAGATGTGCTCTGGGACTCCGGGAGGGACCCCGCCTTCCGTTCTTTTAAACCCGGGAGCCCAGACAAGGGCTTCCCCCAGCCAAGGCCTGCCGTGGCTCAGATGACTGAGGAACCCCTGGGAGGCCTCCTCGTGTCAGATAAGAGGAGAAAAGAACCTCCCGAGGGAGTGGGTGCTGGATTCAAACCCTGTGCAGACGCCGAGTGCTCAGGGGCACGCCTCCGGGAGTGAGGGCACGTGAGCCAAGAATGGTTGGTACGG